CTCGTAATACACGACCATCGGCAGCTGAACCTTCCCATCCAGGTAACACATAAGTAAAATTGAGATTTCTATCACAAACTCCCAAAACATTAGTTGCTATCTCTCCTTTTCTTGTTCTATATCTTGGTTTGTGTTGGATTGGAACTCTAATGGGAATGTAAGTACCATCTAGCGCACCTAAACAACCCTTTAAGATAAATTATAGTGTTATCTCAAAATATATAATATTTTTCTAAAACTATTATAAAAACTGCATATTTTGTATATGAGTTAAAAGATGCTAAGCGATAATTTCACCTACCTCAAACCATTTCCATCGATCTTCAATCTCATCCTCAAGTACCGGTTTAGGATTAACAAGTAGCAATGGAGTTAGTTTGAGAATAGCACTCAAGCATTCATTAAAAGCATGACTTACGCTCCATCCCGATCTAATATAATCTACCTTGATGGATCTATTTTTCTCATGATGAGCCAAGATATTTAAAAACATTGCTAATTTTTCGCAACATGACATACTTTTACTATCAGTCAGACCTCCAATATCTTTAGTTAAGAGAACTAAAGTGTGAAAGACATTTCTATCCATTCTTAACTTATTGATACATACACTACCATTATCATTTATGATATAGTGTAAGTGCGAAATGATTTTCGGAACTCGAACACTCATATGATATCTAACCTCACGTCTGTTTCGACATCGTCTTCTTAGAGAATGACCATGACTAGCCATGAAAAGACAAAAAATGAGAACAAGAACTTGCTGAAACACTATCTCCACAAGAATAATATATTCAATACCTGATAATGGTTGAAGATCCATATTAACACCTATATTTGCCATAAAAATATGAATGAATACATACAAAGCTTTTAAACAAGTATCTATGTATATAAATTCCTAATTTTCAACCATATAAAGAGTGAAATAGATGAGCTCAAAGCATATTAAAAAAACGAGCTAAACCTAAATTTCATCTTAAATTGTGAAAGAGATGTTGAAAAATACATATTTTAATGAAAGACAAGACTACTAACCTTAGGAAGATGAGCAAACAATGTTTGATTGAGCAAAAGGAAGAAAAATCTACTCTTGAATTTTCTTTGACAAAGTACAAAGAAGATGAAAGAGAAGATGAAACAAGTACTATGGAAAATGTTCTTTTAAAGGGTTTTGAGGGTACTTTTGTAAATACATAATTTAATGTAAGTGTTAAAATGCTATGTATTACTAATACCTAGAATTTCTTGGTATTAGTAATACACAACTTAATACACAATATTGTGTATAACTAATGCTTGCATTAGTTATACATGACCAAAAAAAATGTAACAAACAATGTATTACTAATACACCTTCCTAATGCATGTATTATTTTTCCTAATACCCTCTACCAAACGACCCCTAAAAATTTAAAAAAAAAATTGTAAAGAAAAACAATTAATTGAAAAAGTCATTTTTTTCTTCCCCACTACCCCTTCCTTTGAGCATTTTTACGCCTGTTCAAAACTTTTTTTTTCTTCTCCACAATTTACGAACACCGAAGACCAGCACTCGGCGGAGACAAGTGACCGATTCACCGGAGACCAGCGTTCGCCGAGACCACTCAATCGCAGTGCTGTGAGAGAGACAAGCGACGCGGCGGAGTAGAATTTTTTCATCCTGATCTAGTGGTGCGGTGACTTGGGTTGTTTTTGTGGAGGTTGGAGGAGGAAAGAAAAATGGCAACAACGACGATGGTTTCTCCAGCAACGTCCGTTTCTTTTTCTGTTTTTTCTACAAAGACCCCAGAAATGCTTCCAATCTATTTTCGTAAAGTTGTAATAATTGTGTTTAATTTCATCAAAAAAAATTCTAATATATATATATATCAATTTTTTTTTACGAATCCGTGTGCCATGACATCCCTTATGCCTTCCTAGATCCGCCCCTGATCAATGTTGCTTGCTATGATTAAAAATAAAGTTTGAAAATATGAGTTAAAATGATTTTAAAATATTTTATTTTTATTTTTAAAATCCAGCAACAAGAATGTTGAGGACATGGTTTAAAACTTCTCCAAATGTTGCTAGAGAAAAATCTTCATTATCATAAACTTAATTAGAAATTAATTTGAAAACCATCTTGAGCCTATTTTCAACTTCATTGAACCATAGGACCATCGAACCATGAGATTGTTGGACCATGTACTTTGATACCTCTTGTAAATTTGAAAGTGATTACGACGTCATGCAGAAGTTTATAATTTACAAATCATGATACCAATAAATTAGATGACAAAAGCTCATACTAAAGATTAAAATATTATCGTATGAAGATTTGGTCAATTAGCCTACATATTATTAAACTAACAAAAAAAAAACCTTAGAATTGTAGAAAGAAAATCTCATAAGTCATAAACAAAACTCAACGATTACATTTATGAATTCTATTGTGTTTTTTGATGAGAAATAAAGATCTCAATTTATAAATCTACAAAATTCTCCTTTAAGAAAATAATAAACCAAATATAAAAAAATTACATTTTCTTTCAAAAAGTTAAAGGTAATAATTTGATTTTCCTTGAGAAAAAAAAAAAGAAAATCAAGGCAAAACCTACATAGAAGAGAGAAGGGCGAATGAGAACCCTTACCATATAAGTAAAGTTCAGAAAGTACATGCTCTTTTACCTTCTAAATTTATAGAAACTACACTTTGATTAATATATAACAACAATTTGCTACTAATTCAAGATGCTATTTGCATGATTTTCTCCAATTCAGATTCACAGGGAATATAACCACGAGAACTCGTGAATAGCACAAGTTGTACACTACTTCATCAAGCATGAAACAAACATTTCCATGTATAACTCCCTTTAATGCAACAACACCACCCATTAACTCACTCCATTCCAAAACAAAAACAAAACCTCACAATTGAAAATACAATCAAACTCAGGGACATGATCCCGAATTCTAATTTTATGGATTCATTTTTTGTACCTAGGTTACACATCCAGCGACTTTTTCTATTTCTACAACATGAATCATACAGAAGCAGAACTTGAATTTAAAAAAATTAGGAGTGTCCGATACAGCGTCTTAGGGAAAAGAAACGGGGAGGACGAGGCGAGACCTCAGGCTTTGGCTCAAGTGATTCTAGAGGGAAATGTTTATAGAATGCTTTCACAGCTCCAGTCACTCCATCCTCATGTTCCATGGCTTTTGCTAGTTCTACAGCACGTTCTTTTACCTGTACCGCCACAAAAGTATATCACTTATCAAACAACAGCATATATCATAATAATGGACGTTCCTCCAGACTAACAAGAAATAAAGCATTAGAAGAAACTAGGTACCTCTGGATCTAGCATGAACCGGATGGCAGCGACCAACTTTTCAAGGGAGAACTCGTCCACAGGGATGGGAGCAGGACCTACTCCCCTAGCATGCACACGTTCACCCCAAAATTGTTGATCCCCAAAGAAAGGTACCACAGTTGTTGGGCACTGAAAAACATCCAAAATGTTATCATTCTGAATAAGACAATATACAGGAATATCATGATGTTCAAAATCAAATATTACTGCGGCTTTTAGTCCAGCAGCAGTTGTTCCAGCACCTCCATGATGCACCTGGAAGAATGAACAACAATTTCTCCACATATCATCGGCTGTTTTATAATCAAAAGGGTAACAGCTTTATACAATATGTCATTGACCTACTACTTTATCAAGTTGAGGTGAGGTTAAACTTTATGCACATATGGCTTGCACATGATATACAGAATTTGTCCCAATACAGATCATGCACTATATACAACACCAACCTACCCAATGCAATTCCACAAGTGTGGTCTAGGGAGGGTAGGATGTACACAGACCTTGCCCCTATCTTTGTGGGATAGAATAGAGATGCTCTGATAGACCCTCAACTCAGAAGAAATGTTTTCATAAAAAAAAAGTATCCATCATGTTGTTCAATAACATCCAAATTCGCATTAAATTTTCCCGTCAAGTGTAGATTAAGATTCCATAACCCAAATACTAAGCAAAATGACCTTCTGTTGCCATGGGAAAAGAAGGATAAGCTTTAAATAATCGGGTAGACAGAGATTAGGAACTAATCCAAGAATTGAACTGGATCAATAAACTAGTGGTTAACCAAGGAGTTTCTTAATTTAAGTGTATTTGTGGTAGATGTGATACAAAGACATAAAGAATGGGCAGAATCACAATTCATCAACTTGCAAATTTATTTCATAACCACATCACTTATCATCAATCCAATATATAGTCCTTAAACAGTCTAAGATGAAAAGATGGGGGAATGGAAGAACATATGCAAATTTAGATGAAGACAGACCAATTAAATGAGGTAAAGAGGTTGTACCACAGCAGCACAATGCAGGAATAGCCAATCATGGGGGCAATTATCCAACAGGTACACAAAATCCTTGGGTTCCTTCACTGGGAGAAGATGATTTAGTCTTATCAGCTAATACAATCAATCATAAACCTTGTGAACCGCAGTTAGTTGTACGCATGATGTAACAAATAAAAATCTGAGTACTTACAGCTCCCAAGGCCACCCCAGCCTTTGTTAATAATACCTCTTTGTCCAGTAATTTCTAGAGCTTGAACAATTATCTCGGTCATTTTTTCAGGTTCTTGAACAGGCTGTGAAAAAGCATCTTGAGAAATTTGACACTAAAAGTTAAGCATAATACTTCAAAAGTCCACATAAACTAGCATAACATTTCAGCTGACTCTGAATCCGAGGTGGGTAGACTCATGAATAGTAAGAAAGAAATCACTGGCGGTTATTGCAATACAAGACTTAAAAAAGTAAGCTTGATACTTAAAAACCAACATAAAGTATAACATTTCAGTTGATCTTGATCCCATTTACTCCCTCTCCCTTTGCCGGACAATAGTTGTCCACTATTGACTTGGTACAGGGATTAAGAAGCAGTAAATGATAGGGGTAATTTTACCAAATCACCCTTATTAAAAGTAAGTCACATAAACATCGAAAAATAAATAGTATTTAATAGCAAGGTAAAAACGACACAACATGCTAAATGACTCATTGATTTAATAAACTGGACAAGTATTGTTGGACGTCTCAAAATAGTATAGTGGACAAGTAAAGATGGACAGAGGGAGAGGGAGTAGCTTAGACTCATAGCAGCAAAGAAATTATTGGTGGTCAACTTACAAGACTTCCAAAGCCAATATATACAGGATTTTCACCATCTTCAAGCCATTTAACAAGTGATTCTGGGGGTTCATAATTGGAAGCAAGGTCTAGGAAGCAAAACCCTACCACGTCAATTTTTTGGCCCCAATCTGCAAATCAATCAATAGAAATGTAAGTATTACTCAAACAGGCATGTTCTGCTAACCATTTCCTCGGTAATAAGGAAGGCAACAAATAATATAAGGACAACTCTTTAGTGACAGTTCAACTATCATGTCCAGAAGATAATGAAAAAAGCAAGAAACTTTATCTTCTAAAGAAATTTACTTGCAGAATATACCGTAACCCTGGTGATGCAGCATGCCATCTTTATCCGAAGAGATGACAGAATGATACACTCAGAGATGCACTAACTTGCTTTCTCCCAGATTAATTTTGTGAAAAAGGAACAAATAACACTTTTAAAAATCTAAAACGCTGTTACTTTGGTGATAAAATAGGATGGGAAATCAAGTACTTTGCATATATTTATACCAAGTACAACCGCATCCAGAGATTTTTGAAGAAACAAATTTAGCAACTTAGAAGCTACAAAGGAAGTTGACGTGGGAAATGGCAACATCTACCTAGACATGTTCTTTTAAAAAAAATGGTAATGTTGTATTCCTCAGCATTAAGCATTAAGGATATGTTGGAGACCCTCATAAATTCCGAAGAGAAAGAAAAAGAGCAAGGCTAATTACTGAGAGCCTAACAGATCAACTAATTGTTCTACTTCCTCTATAAATTCCTTTTTACACCATAAATACAAAGATACAATACATTTCTCTTCCACTATCTGTATGGAGTTTGATTTGTTCTCAAAGCAGCTTCCATTCCCTTTCTTCCATATTGACCACCTATGCATGCTGGGTTCATTCTCCACCATTTATTTTGGCTCATGCTCCTCCCCTCTCCTAATCCGTCAGCAGTGTGCACTGGCATTGTTGCGATGGTGTTTGTGAGCCTCAGGAACTAGCCCAAAACTGGTTTGTAACTCAGCAGTGCAAGAATAGATGTCAATTGGTTTCATCCGTCTCACTGCAGAGAAAATATCTGGACACTAATTGAAGCCGCGTCTTCTTCAGTGCCTCCTGTGTTAAGCATGCTCTCATAGCTACTAGCCAATAGCCATGTTAGTTCTTGATTAACTACAAGTGACCATTTGATCACAACTATCCACCATTTCCCCCTCCAGATTGGAGGAAAACAAACCACAACCCCCTCCACTCCTTCCAAAAGCAGCCACATGAATTTCTCCTAGAGAAAGTGGCAGCTTTCACTTGGCTTGTAGTGAAATAGGTCTTTGCTCAACATCCAGATACCTCGCGTACGTCCTGATACATCATGTTAAGCTATGTATCCAATCGATACATCCCGTAAAGTGAAGTATCCGACTTATACATCGCACAAAGTGATGTATCCAAGAATAGGAGAGAGTAGCGATTTTTGTAATTTTTTCAAATAGTAGAGAATTTTAGAGAATATGGTCAAGAAAACCTCACAAAGAGGGGTATCCAAATGTGTCCAGGATGCTATTTTTGTGAGCAACAGGAGAGATTTTCAACCATTTATTTTTACACTGTTTAAGTGGGGTTAGCTAAACTATGGAACCTGTTCACTAGTTTTAGAGGCATAAGGTGGACTATGCCTGAAAGGGCAGGTCTAGTAAGCTAGAACAATGAGGGTAGTGGTAGCACAGACCAGAAAAGATGGAGATCGTCCCACCAGTGATATGGTGGACCATTTGGAAGGAGAGAAATTCAAGATGTTTTGGAAGTATCAGTAGTCATTCACATAGGATTAAAATGAGCTGCATTATCAATTTTTGCTACTGGTGTAGTTTTGAGTATATAGATGATACTGTAACAATTGTAGACATCTTAGGATACTAGTAACATGAAATAGGACCAAAAGATGGGTTTTCTTTTTTGGGTTGCTGAGACTGCTCAATTTGTATGTAGCTACTTGCTACCTCTATGATGTAAATTCTTGGACAGCAACTGCTCAATTTGTATGTAGCTACTTGCTACCTCTATGATGTAAATTCTTGGATCCCAGCCTTAGTGCTCAAGATTTATACACAAACTTGTTCCATTTGTCAAAAAAAATTTAAAAAAAATCTCCAAGAGTTGTTAATTGTAATAAATCTCATTCCTTGCTAGTTTTGTTTCCACCGACACATAAATTTCGCCACTGAAGCATCAAATTTCTGACTAAAGCTCTTTTCCTCTCCCCATTTGAACCCCTTACATTCCATGATATATTTTCTTGATATACCCGCTGATATGATTCTCCCTCTTGCTCTTGGCTCCCCTTCCTTGAATTTCATGAAAGATACGGGTTCCTTACCTCCTTTGGGATTACTGATTTGAGATTCTCCTGTTTCCCCTCCCTTTCTTCGATTTTGTTCCTGCTCTATCCTCTTATCAATCCTGAACAATAATCCACACAATATCTCGTCACACCCCTCAAAAGCTGCCCCAAATTTCTTGCCTAATTTGATGACGTGGGGGTGTATCCATAGCGTGTGTTTTTATCCTTTGCTTCCTCCTCACTGATTGTCGCTGAAATTCGTTATCTGATATGGATCATCACCTTGTACCCCCTCTCCTTCCTAGTCTAAGGCTTCCATAGTACAGCTTCCTACCACAGTTTTCTCTCCTTGTAGCAATCGGTCCTCCATGCAAAATTTTATTCTCCTTTCCTTGTGTTTCTCCCACGTGAACCTGATGGCTTACAATTCAACAAGGAAATCTTGGTGGCCAAGTAAAATTTGTAAAGGGCTTAGTTGTTCTTAATTTCTTTGAGCTTTGGGATAGGTAGGCTTTATAACAAACCAAATGCATTGTCCGTTTATTTTTGAAGGATAGTATGGGTCCTTGAATAGAAGAATTTTTAGCCCATTGTTGCCAGGTGTCCCCTTTGACCCCAATCCTGTGGTCCAGCTGCCACGTGTCCTATTCCTCCTTATATCCCACATGTCTTCCTCATTGGAACCCTCAATATCCAAAGGATATTTCCTGCAGCTTTATTTCCTCTTATGTGCTTTGTTGCCTTTCCTTTCATATTACAACCTAGGTTGTCATCTTCTTTCCCTCTTGTCACTTACACCTTAGACCCCATGGCTCATCATCCTCAACCTTTCTGTATCTTGCCAACGCTTCTACCCAGATGGGTAAAAGAGAACACCCTGTCGTGAAGTTGGTGACCACCAGTCAAGCTTCAATCCTATGCCCCGTCTCTTCCACTCTCCTATCATGATGTGTTCACCAATCTATCGTAACTGAAATTCAAAAAGAAATTGAATTCCATTCAAATCCAACACCTAAGATTGTGTACCCCTTTCCATTCTTGTTGATCCCATCTCCTTATATCGTTACGAGTAAGGATCTCGTTGCAATCAGGGAACTGCCCACCAGACACCTGCTCAGCAACTCATTTCCACCCGTAAGAGTTGGAGGAAGTTCCCCCACTGTCTCATGTTCCTTTCGTGATCATCCGTTCCTGTGTAAGCTTCTTTATAGCTTCCTTCCCATTCAGTGTATTCAACTGCAGTGATCGCTTCAGCATTTAATGTAATCTGTGTAACTTCTTTCTTGTAAATAAAGCCTTCAGTTTTTGTGTTGAGCCCCTCGACCCCTCATTAAAGCTGTTACAGGAAAAATGATGAAAGATCTGGTCACTCCATTTACTGCAATTATTGAGATGAATTACCATATTTATTGAACTTCGGAGAAAAGTATAAAAAGGTGGAAGTACCTCTGCATTTCCAAGTTTAAAACTTTCCCCCTTATTCTGATTCCTCACGTAGCCTTCTGTCGAGCCATAACAGAACTCCCTTACTTAAAGTCATCCTTCTCATGTAAAGCTTAGACCTTTCCACCCATTCGAACCAAGTTACTTCAGAGGGGTGGGGGGAATAGATGCAGGTGGAGCTAGAAAGGGAAAAGGAGAAGTAAGGTAGTCCCAACACAAGCAGAGAGTGCTCTCTTGGACTCTTACTAGTACAGAAGAGAACAATACTATCAAGGGTTTCTTCACAGGTCCTTTTTGAGCATGATATACTACTTCAAAAAAGAGGCAAGGGTATCTTGGCAGGTTCTTGCTAAAAAGCATAGTGTGCATTGTTCTGCCTGTACTCCCTTGTAAACTTATACTTGATGAAGCCCCGAAAACTTCCTCAATGCTCAAGCATGCTTCTCAGATAGAAGAACACTACGAATAGTCAGCAGTAAACTCCCACACAATTTTAACTCCTATCTCACCTGTACTTCCTCACAAGTATACTGTATGTGAGAATACCTTACCAAGATGATAAACATTTATCCACAGAGGAAGACCTACTGGTTATCTACAGAAAAGAGAAGAATTACATTCCTCTTATGAGAAAAGGAGAGGAATCCTACAAACATCCAAATAAACCTAACCAATGAATGTATAAGGGGCTAGATTAAATGTCCCAACAAATTACACAGAACGTAAAGTTGAATATAACTTAATTAGGACAAAACTGGGGTATGTGGAATACATCCAAATAAACCTAACCAATGAATGTATAAGGGGCTAGATTAAATGTCCCAACAAATTACACAGAACGTAAAGTTGAATATAACTTAATTAGGACAAAACTGGGGTATGTGGAATTATGTGAGCCTTCTATTACCCATTAAAGAGTCCCTTGTTTCTACTTTTGGAAGGTTACATCTCCTTCCAACTTCGAAACTATTTTATTATTTTGGTTATTTAATGTTGTGTCTAGACAAACCTCCACTACTTCAATGTCCTGGGAAGAAAAGAGATACAGAAGCTTGTTCAAATCTGGAACAATTTATTACATGGTCATCCCAAGAAACAGCTTCCAAGTGAATACAAAAGCTATTTCTGAATGCAAGCCAACCTAAAAATTGTTAGGTAGGTCCAAACTAACCATCTAGGGACATTAAAGAGAACAAGGACAGATCTTCCATTCAATTAAACAACTTATGAAGCAATGGGTGTTCTCCTCATGACCAAATAAATGTGAAGTGCTTAAAAAGGCAAACAGGTTGGCAAAGACATCTACAATTATCAAGGACTATTAAACTACGTAAATGAGCCATCAAAAATTCACTATGCATCGACCATGCAACTCACAAGGTAAGAGTCTCTAACAAGATATTTGGAAAGAGACCTTTCGGTTTAGGAACTAGGTGTGGACTCCATATATACCCAAAAGGCACATCTGAATGGAAACTGTTGGAGTTACTCAAATAAGTTAATCGCCTTAACTTCAACTTTTTCTTCCTGAAGTCATTTACCACATCCCGAATCCCAAGCCAGATCAGTCCATCAACGACTTGATATGATAGCTGCACAAGGCATTCAGATATTAAATACAAATGATACAAAAAGAATCAAATGATGTCGAAATGCTAAAGAATTTCTTTCTTTTTCCCGAAACTGGCAACTTTGAAATGCTAAAGAAAATAAATGTCATCAAACACTCACTCTATTAGCAACTGACTGCTTGACACGAGAGAGAGGATGTGGAAACTCACTAGTAGCCCTGCCAAGGAATGACATAGGGAATTTCAGAAAGGTTGCATTTTACAAGAAACTCCATAATCCTATCCAGATAGACAGAATGAGAATTGTGAAAGACACCTGAGGAAAAATTCTATTTCATAAAGAGACCACTTACGTCCATGGCATTGTGAAAAATAAATGCAATGGTACTTGGAGGGCCTCTGCTACATGCATATGTCCTAAACAATTCAAAGCAACGGATAAGTTAAATCATACAAATATTAGGGAAATTTTACTTGATCCAACATATCATCAATCATGATAAAATTCAGCGGATATTATTGTACTCTTGAATGAAAATCTTTTCCAACTGAATAAAACAAGATGATTTAAATAAGCAGAATTTCTTCCAGATGCCAGCAATACTGACAGGAAGCACCTGTGACAAGAGTCAACGGCGTAACAACCAAGTTATACAGATCAAATGTCAAATGTCTTTACTTTGTGAAAACTAATCTCTTACTAAAATATAACATCAGCAAGGTCAGAAGGTATAAATATAAAGTTGCTGATTTTTCCATGCAGTAAACTAGCTTTAAGTATGAGCAATACTATCCAAACAGAAAATTCAACAAAAAAAATCCATCACTTCCTATATGACTAGTGCAAATTGACATTCCAAGAATATGCAAAGACACATCAATTAGTAATAAGGTTAGGATTGTATTTGTCACGAACCAACCACTGGCATGGAATAAGATTACAACTAAGAGTGGAAGTGTCTTCAGTCTCAATCAATACTACCAAGATCACGATACAGTGCCAAAATCCAATCTTCAGCAGAATATGCAGAAAAATTAGTGTGGCACTACCTTGACTGCAGGAGTTCAACTTGAGAATAGAAGATGTGAAAACTCTCTAATAGCATTGCCATCAGAACTGTTTTCCTTGTTTCAAAGTCTTAGCTATATAGAGAAGTAAAATGCAGATAAAATCAAATAATTGCTGGATCCATTACCTGAAGAAGTGGAATCAGTTTATCTGAAACTTTCAATGTCATCTACTGTTTTCTTTGTTTGTGCTTACTTTTACCAAAACCCACTGTATAAATGGATGGAGTATACTTTTTGACAACATGAGTTGTTCAAAATTTAAAGAACCAATCCTTTTGACGTACACAGAGATAGGGAATGACAGTGTACACTTCTTCTTAGCAACAATGTGAAGGTAAAATTTACAACCCAAGCAATCTTATCACAGCATGAATAGTCCATACTGTAATTCATCAAGCTGATAGTATTACCATATGCAGGAGGATTGGCAATAATGGCATTTACTCTGAATGGAACATTTGACTCTGGATCAGGATCTACGCATGCAGGTAGTAAGGAGAATACAATATCTTTTATTTGATTACGTTGAATAAGTATTTCAGAAGGTCCAGATGGCAAAAACCCTTTATTTTTTACCATGTCTGCAAGAACATATATGCAGTGATCAAGTTTGCTGATTGATTTACTAAATTTGATTAGGATCAATTCTTAACAAAAAGGAACAAGAGAGGGAGAGGGAAGGAGGGAGGAAGGGAGGGGGAGAGAGAGAGAAAAGCATCAACAATTTCGACCATCAATATATAGCAATATTGTGAAGTACAATACAGTCCAACCATAATACCTCTGTTTTCAGTACCAAGCATATTAAGTGAAATTGAGTAATGCTAAGAAAAGGAATTTCTCTATTTCAATACAATATATAGGCAGAAAGGTGAGTTAAGACTGAGCACAGATGAAAGGCATATATCTGCAACTACTGGGACAGAAACTTGGCATATCAAATGGTTTCTTGTTTTCTGCATCAATTTCCCCAAGTAATTAGGATCCAATTTCAAAGCTTATGCATGTATAATCACTAATATATCTTACCAAAATGTACCTCACATGAACAGGAAACCACATTCCAAAGATCAAAAAAGCCATCTGAAAGGCGCTATTAACAAGTGTGCTCCTTGGTTTCTCGATAACACACATAAAAAGCAATAAGAGAAGTGCTCTGCATAAGCTTTACTCTTCCACTAACCAACTAGCTGTTAACACTACAAGATATAGAAAAACTTGTTATTCTCGAGTTGCAAACAACTTCCAAGGGAACTCTCTAGTACGCTTTACTTCACACTGAAAACCCAATTCCACATTTGTAAGCATAGTACTTGCCTACTTGGCAGCCACTCGCTCCTTTTTTGATGAAGTGCTAATTATTTGTTGTGGGATAAAAGCCTAGAGATGCAAGTGGTATTGAAAGTAGTAGAGAGTTCACACAAATATATAGTTTTCCACAAATACATCCGTTCATGTTACTTATGCAATTATGCTAGTAGGAACCTCCTGGGTGCACCAAAATTTAGCTAGAAATAAATTCTATATTTACGAAATCATGTGATCCCCATGACAAAGGGGCTCTTCTATTCCCCTCTCTCGAAAGTACACACATGAAATCCAAACAAGCTAACGCCACGTGCTCTACATGGTGGAGGTCCAATTGAACAACACATGACATCACATCATTTACTAATTGAGATCACCCAATTGTTTCCAAATTGATTCAGCTTGTCCGCCCAGCATTATAACAGTGAATGATCCACACATCTTACCCTCACCAACAAAACAGTGTCCTCTTTCTTAGAATTTTGACTTCACCCACAGTTTACTATGAAATAGTCATCATAGTAAGACAAGACTCATCCCGTTTTGAGAGATTCTGAATCTTTGACACCGTTTCGCTAATAATACTCCCTCTGTCTTTTCATAAAAAAATAAAATAAAATAATACTCCATCTGTCCCCATTTATGTGTCATATACTAATATAATACTCCCTCTGTCATTTCATCCAAAAAAAAAAAAGTACTTCCCGAGTCCCCATTTATGTGTCATACTTCTTTTTAGTTTAAATTGCCGAACTTCCTAGCTTAGAAACAATTTTATCTTTAAACTTTTCATTTTACCCTTCATGAGATGATTCATAGTCACAAAAATGTGTGTGGCTTGTTTTAGACCACAAGTTTCCAAAAAAATCTTTTTCTTCCTTTGGTTCTGTGCTCAGTCAAACACCGCCACAAAAAGGTGAGATGGAGCGAGTATTATTTTAAACAACTTTTATAGGTCAAACATCTTAAACCTCATTTCTCGTTACGTATATTCATGGATTGAGGGTCAAACTAATGATAATCTTAACGGTTATGATGTTGATGATGGTGATGAAGCAATAGCAATAATAATAGTTATAAGGCATAATACATAAACATGTCATTTTACTTGGTTTCAACTAGCATCTATGTCCTCCAACTCGGGGTGTGCACGACGCTTAAATTTTCATAAAGTAGAACAAGTAGACACATGTATGATACCATATAGGACACACATGTCTACTTGTCCAACTTTATACAAATTTAAGTGTCTACTTGTGCATACCCAAAGTTGGAATGCATAAATGTTAGCAAATCAAGTCAAAGGGAACATCTATGTATTATGCCTAATAATAATAACAGAAAAAATTAATGACAATATTATTATTATTATTATTGAAGAACATATAAAGGTTATTAATTTTTATAATAATTAAACTGTATTTTTGTTCAGCCCCCCTCCCCCCCCCCCAAACCCCCACCCCCCACCCCCGCCCAAAACCAAATACCAATGAAAAAGGTTCACCAACTTTAAAGGATATAAAAGGTTATGCATGTTACATTCAAAATAAAGATTTATGCATGTTAAGCTATAATGATCTAGGGCTTTGGTCTAGCGACAACGATGTGTAAATTAGCCGCACTTCACAGGTTCAAACCTTGTCATAGCCAAAATCCTGGATTTTAAGTAGAGAAGGGTAGAGGGCAGGTTCATAAGGTCCTTAGGATTTTCTGGTTATCAAAAAAAAAAAAAAAAAAAAAGAAGATGACTTAGGGAACACCGAAAATAGATCATGGTATTGATACTCAATTCTTTCAAGATATGCAGTGAAGCAGTAGCCACAAAAGGAAAACTGGTTTAGACATCCCTTTTAGATTACTTTAAGCCCCTTAACTTATTAAAATGAAGTAATATTATTTCTTCTGAATATTTTTATTTTTTCATATGGTTCTTCAGATTGTATCTATTCCACAGCTGAGTTCAAAGTCCTGAAATCAAGTCTATAAAGAAATTGGAAGTCGACCTGCAGATGCCCCTGTAGCAAGACTGTTTGAAGGGTCAAATCATTAGTACGATTAAACAGCCTTTGCTGAGTCCAATCTTTCTTTTATTGCTAAAAGTCTACAGTTTTTACACGCTTCCACAATTTAATATCTTCCAATATGATTTCTACTTTGTGGTGCACGGACTCACATTTTCAGGGTAAACGCAAGGAAAAATTAAAATGTTTTCAACCTTGAAGTAAGTATTTCACTTAACTCTTCAAATCTAAAAGCTGAAGCCAATTGCATCACTAACTTGGTGCATGGAAGCTTTAAATTGAACAAGTAACTTGACTAATGTGAGAGTTCTGGGACTCTGAATTAGCTTTCTGAAAGAATACTTAACTTTTATTATATTCTTAAAAGCATGAAAAGATGTTACCAATCAGACAAATATCAAATAGCTCTGAGGATGAAGATCCCAAAAGACAGGTGCAAGAAAAATCTATGGCGTATATATCACGGGACCCTCAACTCAACTATAAACTCTTTTAGGGAACTAGAAATAGAAGCTGCAAACTATTTTTCGTGGTTATATGTATGCAGTATGCTTGACTAAAACCTGAATATGTGAAATATGACATGATAAAAAAGGCCGTGGATACATTTTTCAGTGATTGATTACTCACATGCAGCAAGAACCTTTGGATCTCCGCCTAGAGGATAAAATTCCAACCCAGCACCCAAAACAAACTCTTTAAAATTGGCATGAGTTGCTAGTCTCACCCTATGACCATTTTCCTGCAAAAGAAATTTCCAATTATATGCCTATTACTTTACTTCAATATTTACTGGAACAATTATCAAAAGACTCGTCCAGCAAATGCTACAGATGCTATTTTACTAAACAAACTTTGATTTCAAGGATCATAAAGATGTATATAACTTATCACTAACTCATAGGAAAAGCAAGCGCATAAGTAAAATAAGAAATGTTGTAAATCACTAAGTAATAGATAATTGTGCTTGTTGAGTAGGAAGGGCAAGTAAACCTGAAGCTTTTTCCCAATGGCAACAAAAGGTTGCACATCTCCCCTCGTCCCAACAATGAGCATAACAATTTGCAATGGAGGTAGTACTGGAATATCAGCTACGTCATTTGCTGCTTCATCTGAAGCTCCATTGTAAACAACTCCGGTCCCAAAATCAAGTTTTCCAGGTTTAATATCCCCCGGAACTTCAAATTGCACAGTACCATCATCTTGAATAGTTGCAAGCCTATTGAACAATTTGAGCTGCAAATTTTAGGTTTTGTCACAAATTACAACAACAGGTACAAGTTTCATAAAAAACAATTTCTGAAAGAAGATGGTTGTCTGGTAACAATGATCATTCATTGTTAGCGCATTACTACCGTTACATGGTAAAGCCAACTCAACCACACATAAGTGACGGTAAATGAACAGAAACCAAGTAAATTCATTTATAATCCTTTTGCCTTTTTAAATGAAAGACAACAGTGAAGGCATATGAACAGATGAGAAGATCAGGTAGAAAGATACCTTATGTCCAAATCAAATTTAGGTTACTATAAGGAAGGATTACACATGGTCTGTTGCATGGGGAAGTCTGAAAAACTGGAAATTGCCATCCCTAAACCAGGAGCAAAATTTTGGAGCTTAAACAGTGGATACCTAAAATGAGAAAGATAACACTACATACACTTAAACAAACATACATACAAAAAAGCTAATACAGATATGGATCTTGCAGTTTCAGTGCAATGATCCGATTTGTACATCTTCTATGAACCCAAAATGCCAATAATTAGTGTTTAGCAGCAAGTTCTTCAGTTTCTCCAGAAAGGTATAAGCCTCTAGCAATTTAATGTCATATTCTTACACAAGATACTAAATATGCCCTTTTTAAAATGCTTCACATCGTCTCAGACTTGTGGTTTCACAGGTTTCTGTTTCCTCGGACGGAAAGAATGAAGAAGGCTGTAGTAATAGATGAAAGGAAAACAAGCAGCATCCAACAACAAGATGTACCGAATAAATATTGAGAAGATCTCAACAATGTGAGGCTTCTCCACCAAATCTCTAGACAAATCAAAAAGAGATACAACAGAGAACATGTAAATAATTGTCATTTTACACTTGCCTTTTTTCTTAAAGGAACTCTATCATCAAAAAGCTTTGCTGCTAGCACACCTAGACCTTTGTTCTTGTTTTGTATGTGTCTTCCAGCTTTGTCTGGCTGACTGGTACCAGGTTCCGATTTCTTCACAGGCTTTTCCACATTTGTAGCACTATGCCCAGTCTCATCCCCGCTTACAGATCCTGATAGTAAAATATTAATATTGACACAAAATGAGTAACAATTATCTTAAGAGTAATCATAAACGAATTGAATTTGGAAGTGATAAATTAAGTCCATAAAAAAGTAACTAACTAGAAGCGGACTTGCCCCCATAGACTAACTTAGAACTATAAACAGTACATTAGACAACAAATGAATTGCCCGAAGGAGATATAAGCTATTCAAAAGTATTTAAGAATTCTGTCTCCCAAACTTGTCAGCCATTGTAAAAATCCAATAACCAATACTAGATAGTATAGTAACGGAATGTTGATTCAAAGTTTCTAGCAAGGATAGAAGGTGATGATGCAAGGAAGGAAGTTCGAATTATGCATATAAGTGTGATGTCTATTTTAACACTAGAAAGCAATCACACCCACTACAGAACCTCAAGTATCTACCTAAGATTCAGCTTCTTCGTGGCAAATCTCTAAGGTTTGTAATGACCAAAAGAGAAACAAACAGAACTTAAAAGAGTACGAAAAAAAACAGAAAAAGTTACACCCTCTTAGATATGTTGTTCCAGCTGCCATCCCAGAGTACCAAGTCAAATGTGTTCACAATTAAATATGAAATTAAGATCCCTAACGAACAAAAGAATTATATTTTCAAATAAAAACAAAAAATGCTAAGCCGCAACTTAAGAAGAAACCTTTTCTCAGCAAAACAGGAGAAATCTAAGAAAATATATGGTATACGATACCTTGTACGTTGATAGAATTATCAACAGTACTCTCCTTATTCGTTTGATTCCCATTATCACCCTGTATTACCAGTTCAAAATCAACCGGAACCTCACCTGAATCCTTTAACCCATTATTCTTTTCCAACGAATCGTCCATAATTGACAAGGAAAACACTAGTGGGTATCCTTATCTTTCTCAGAATCTAAAAAAAAGGAAGATAACTAGAACAAGTTTGGTTAGGGGAATATATAGAATAGTAGGTGGAGGAAGACGCAAGAAAGGAAGAATTGGAAGAGGAAAAAGGGGCGGGTAAAATACATGAACAAAACAATACACACACGCAGAGAGAGAGGACGGTTAGGGGAAGACACGTTGTTCAAAATGTGAGGCCACGTACTCTATTTGTATTTGTAAAAAAAAGCTACTTATTTTAATTGCACCTCCCTCGTTAACTCTTCTTTATTTTTCATTAAAAAAAAATCCAATTTAAAAAACTCAAAAAACTATGAGTAATCCTGTAAAGAACTCAAAAACACTCCTTTAATTTTCTTAACTTACGTTACGTCTGCTATATAGAAAATTATATATATATATATATATATATATATATATA